CAGAGGCAGAGGCAGAAAAGGCCAGGTGTTCTGGGAAAGATCACCTTCAAATCACACAGCACCCTCCCAGCCCACAGAGACAGTTCTTACATTATGGCAAGAAACCTGGAAAACACCAAATCCAATTTGACACATATTTCCTTTTTCTTTTTGATTTCATGCCCCCTCCCTCAACCTCCCAAGCAACATGGATACCCCGAAGGCCCTGGGAACTCTCTCCCATTGGATCTTACCTGGAAAGTAGTTACCTACCTGCAAAATCCTCGTCGTCAGATACGCTCTCCACAATCAAATCTTTAGAAACACAAACACCAGGCTAAGTCATTAGAGAGAGGCCCACCCACTCCTCGCACCCCAGCTGAAGCCCCGGTGCTTCACACAGGATCCCCTGGTGTTTCCTCTGGTTCACAGACATCCCTCCAGCCTCTCTAGACATTGTTTTATACTTGCAAAATCATCTGCTCTCACCAGATCCCAAATCCTCCTTCCCAAAAGGAGCCCAGAATCAGGTTTCTATACCCTACAGACAGCGTTTTTCCCTCAGGAAGTGAGTTATTTCAGGGTACGTACCGTTTTCCAGTATAAATGGCTCCTGCAATTATAGAAAACAGGAGGGTGAAATGATGCCATGCATGTCACATAGATCTGATATTCTCTCAAAAACTTGAAAAATTAGAAGGGATATAGTGATTGAGTCAAAGGTTGAACTCCCCCCAAACTAGCACGGAGGACACCTGTGGAAAAGACAAGATCTTTTCCAACAGAATTTATCTTTAAAGTGTATTTAGATTGACAGTTTCACAACTCTTAATCCACGGGGGAAACTGCTGTGGAGGGAAACACCTCTGCATTGCGGTGGATCGTGGATGCCGCCATCTACCACGCCCCCGTGTGCCCGGCATGGGTTGGTGAGAGGCTGCCAATCAATAGCACCACACCAAGGGCATTGCAGATGTCATAAATAATGCACATTGGCAGATGTTCATGTCTACATCTGATTGGAAAGAACCAGGAAAGTATCATTTCTGTTCAAGATAGAAGTGTCTTACCTTGGCAGCGTCTTTTTTACAGATGTCTTGTACAGCATGCTGATTAGTATCGTGTACAGCGGCCTCATTAGTGATCTCACATAGGGCATCCTCATTACAGATGTTTCGTACAGTGTCATTAGCGATGTCACGCACAGCGTCCTCGTTAGCAATGGCCTGTACAGGGTCCCCATAGGGAGCTAGGAGAACAGAAAGTAAAGGTCAGTGCCCTGGTGGTGGAGACTGTGAATCACCCAGGGAGCTTGCTTGGTGTGGTGCATGGAGGTGGCTGATCACAGCATGGGCCGAGCTGATGCTGGGCCATCCTCCCGGGTGGATCTGCGCTAGTGAAGCTAAGAGACGTGACTCAGAACGCTTTCTGCAGTGGGAATCAGCTTCCAGGTTCAGATATGCTTTATCCAGTGAAGTGGGGAAATACAAAAAAATACAAATTGACAAATTCCTGAAAAGCCCTCCATGAGTGCAAGTGTGATTTGTTAACCACTTTACATTCAGCATGCATTCACACATACAAAATATTTTTACAAGAAATCAGAAATCTTAATTTTTGTCAGTTATGTTAAATCTAACTTAGCTGTCAACATAAAGATTCTATCTTATTTACTCTGTGGTCTCCAGAAAATCTAACACATAGTAAGTAGACCAAAATGTTTATTAAATGAAAACACAGAGCAGGGGCAGGGGGGCTGGTAGGCAGACCGGGTTGCACCTGATTACCTGGATGATGATAAACTGCACAAAACCTCGGTCGGATTAATACTGAAACTGCCTTTTGCTTGGGCTATTTTCCCTTGCGGAAGAAGGATGACCAAGAGGATGAAACAGGGAAGAAATGAGAAACAGAGGTCTTTGCTTAGGAGCCAAAGGCCACCTTCTGTAAGATGAAATAGTCTACAAGTGGCCTTGAACTCTGCCGTGATTCAGTGACAGAGTTCCCTCATGTCGTCTACCCACAGTGAAGTCCAGCAACACTGCGACTGTCTTCTTTACAACTTGCAAGACATGCTGCTTCTGCATTTGCCTGTTGTATGAGATTTACACTTGTTTTAGCCACGTTTTGTTTCTGTTGGGCTGATGGCCATACACTGCACTAGCCAGTCAATAGTGAGATGGCTCCTCAGGGAGGCGGCTTGGCTTGAGGCTGAGGGTCTTTAACCTACATGCACAAGAGAGTTGCCACGAGGGGACGGAAGCCAGGCTAATAACTACTGTACAGAGTTCCCATCTGTCCCTCCTCACCATTTTCAGCTGGCAGGATTTGAGCATTTTAGGGCTTGGGAAGATAATATTACTAAATCTACTAAAATACATCACCCATCCTTATAGGCTTTGGCCAGTTGCTGAGCAAATTAACTTCACAACTGAAGTGGGCCGCACTGGCCTGCGTGGTCCCCCGCTTCTCTTAGAATCTGTGAGTGTGGGGCCTACTGGAGGGTGGGAGGTGGGAGGAGCGGGAGGATCAGGACAAATAGCTGATATTAGGCTTAACATATGGGTGATGAAATGTGTACAACAAACTCTCAACACACGTTTATGTATGTGGCAAACCTGCACTCCCTGCACATGTACCCCGAACTTTAAATGAAAGTTAAAAAAACAAAAACAAAAAACAAAAAACACAGGCTCTGTGAGCTGACCCAAACCCCCGGGGATCTTTGTGCTTGTGACACACTGATAACTACGCTGGTCGGTGGGGAGACGTGCCCTGGGTCGTGTGACCACAGAGGCCACTTTATGGTGATGGGCAGGGTCTGGGACCTCTTAGGCTCTGTGCTTTAGGGTTTATACACGAATGCTGGATTCCCTGCATGGTGGCGAACACCCCATGACTAAGTGCATGTCAGCGTCAGCACTGGCCCCCTCTCCTGGGTTCGTGTTTTCACCTTCTCATTCACGAACTCGGGAGCTGGGGCCACTCCCTTGGCCCTTCAGGTTCTCCACCTGAGCAGTGGGGATAAGAAGCCAGACCCAGGGATGGCTCTGGTGAGGGTGGAGGAGTCACTGTACAGAGAGAGTAGAGGGGGATGGATTTTATTGTTGGAAGTGGACACTGGTGATTGAGTTGTATAAATGGGAAATCTCTCCTGAGAACACACACAGCCACACACCCCCCACATGATGCAGCCTCACACAAGACACCACCAATCGTCAAGCACCCAACTCAGTACCACCCAAAAGGCAGCACAGCTGCTTCCTCAAAAATTGGCGATAACTTTTTCCCTGGGGAACTTGGGTTTTTTAAAAACACTTCCACTCTGCTTATTCCTATCCCAATCCCAGGCTCAGGGTGGCTCTTCACATTGAAACCTGCAAGGATGCCACACCTTTCTTTGCATCCAGATTGTTTTCTTTGCAAGTAATTCCAGAATACTTACTAGAGTCACACCTCAGAGGGACCACCTGCATCACCTGCAATACAGAAACAAGACTTCATGTGGGGTACGTCGTGTTGTGGATTGTTTGCACAAGGCTCTGTTTCTCTCAGTGAATACTGAAAACAAGATCAGAAAGCGTGGTCAACTTCAAGGCCCCCCAAACAAGGGTAGGATACACACTGGAAAAGATATCAGCTTCTGGATGGTGGATCTCTCAGGTCCACGGAGCTTGGCAAGTGCAAAATACTGAATCC